TGACTTTATAACTCGCAATTGTGTTTATATCACGCAATTCTGAGAAACAAAAGTCAGAGTTGTGTTTATATCTCACAATTCTGACTTTATAACTCGCAATTGTGAGTTTATATCTCAGAATTCTGTGAAAAAAAGTCAGAATTGTGAGATAAAAAGTCACAATAACCTTTTTTTTATTATTCAGTGGCGGAAACGGGCTTCCATACTCAGGCCATCAAAGAAGTAGACATTAAGACAGATCAAGCACCATTTACAAGCAAAAACAGTTCTAAACAAATATGTTTGATGGATTTTGATGTAAGAGCACAACAGGAAACTTTTTCATTGTATGAAGCATTATTGTGAATTATGGACTGGTATTTTGGCCAGAAAGTAAGTTAAAACGCCCTAATTATGGATTTGTTTCTCACAAACATGCAGCTTCTCACTTCCTGTCATGCAGAGCAAAGGTTATGCCCATAGTTGATTTTGCAAATTATAGAAATCTCTTAAATAAAGAATCTAGTAGCAGAACAGAGGATGGCAAAAAGCTTATAGTACTTCAGTTAATGTGCAATGTATGCCTAATATTCATAGTTTAAATGGCTGAATGCAGGTGCAGAAAGACAGACATTTTAGAGAGACTGTATTTTCTTCTGTGATGAAGGACCACAGAATAGCAAATTATGTGAATACAACGCATTGCATAAGAACACCCACTGCACATTCACACGTGAACGCCTAGGCCTCATCGGACATGAAAGAACATTTCCTCATTAGGTATAGGACGGCTCCCGAGGAGGAAAATAAAATAGAGATAGAGCTGGTCTTTTAATCCTGCTAATTCAGTTAGTGGACACAAGAAATGGTGGGGAAAGTCTGACCTGACATATTCTGTAAGAAAACTCTATGCCCCCTTTTACCCTAAAAGGGCTAATATTGTTGACTGACTTTGTGTTACACATACACATACACACACACACACACACACACACACACACACATATATATATATATATATATATATATATATATATATATGAGTGTGTGTTTCCTTTTTTCCTCCCCAAAAAACTAAAAACAAAAACCATGTACATCACAAACATGCAGAACCATCTTCTCTCAGCTCCTGTATTGTTTGGCCAAAGTTCACATTATCCTATAATTCTGGATATCCAGTAAGCTGTGGACAAGAGATATGAGATTTTTTACTTTCTCTGGCAATGTGCTGCAGTCACTTCTTAATGCCAACAAGGGGATGATGGGTGAAACAAGAAGTGTAAAATGTGCCTGTGCTGTATTCCATCCCAGATTGTCATGCTGATATATTGCGATAATTTCTCAATTTCAGACATCTAGCTTAGTTTCTAAACATTTTGACCAGTTAATACTCACCCAGCAGTTCAAGTTACTACAGCTTGCATGTCACTCTATAAGCAATGTAGCAGCTTCTCCTGTTGGATATTTCTCATTTAATAAAATAGGTACCCTCAGAAGAAAATAAATGATTTCACAGTAAAGCACTGCCAGTTGTAATCAACAAATTGCAATGTCTTTTTGACTGTGCAGGATTATTTAAAAAAAAAAATCAAAGCAAGTTTCCTTTAGTAAAAACACAAGGTTTTTAGATTATCGGGGATGAAAGACCAGCATGTAGAGACCATTAAAGGAACAGTTCACAAAAAAAAGAAAAAGAAAATTGTTATTATTGATGTTCCAAACCCATTAATGTTTTTTTTTTCCATGGAGCACAACAAGAGAATCTTCATTAAGCTCCTAGCACAAAACTCCTAGGATGAAAAAAAAAATATATATACCAGAAAAGAGAATAAGACTGACTATTATTATGATATGATATTTTATTTATTTATTTATTTTTATTTTTTTTGAAGATTGATAGACACGTTCACTATAAACTATTGTTGGCTGAAGACTAAATAACAGTGCACGAGTTTGACACAACCTGAGGGTGAGTAAATAATGACAACTACTTGTTTTACATAAATTGTTAAACATACAAGTGTTCAGTAAAATTATAGAAATCTCTTAAATAAAGAATCTAGTAGCAGAACAGAGGATGGCAAAAAGCTTATAGTACTTCAGTTAATGTGCAATGTATGCCTAATATTCATAGTTTAAATGGCTGGATGCAGGTGCAGAAAGACAGACATTTTAGAGAGACTGTATTTTCTTCTGTGATGAAGGACCACAGAGATCTCTCCTTTGCCCAGAACAGTTTCTGTGAGGATGTTAAAAATTCTGCTACAGCTTTTATGACTTTTAAATTTACAACTTTTTTAATGTTACTTCCTATTCTACAGACATTTCATCCATTGTAACTCCCTATTCAATTCAATTCAGGTTTATTTGTATATCGCTTTTCACGATAAAAATCGTTGCAAAGCAACTTTACAGCAAATTAAGTTTCTACAATATTTAGTGGTAGCTTATCAGTGGTGACTGTCAGTTAATGTACATATATTCACTATTCATTCATATTTACTTTCTCTCTTCACTTTTCCTCTCCTACTAACTCTCCTCATCTTTCTCAATTTTTCTCCATCATTCCCAGGTCATTTATAGTTTAATAACTATAATAATATACCTGAAAGTTACTTCCTTTGAAGCAGGATGACACACAGTAGAGTCACCTTTGGGTCATTATTGGACTGCCGGCAAGAAAATTAACTGAGCCCTTTGTCTGTACGACCTGCTGAAAGAATGACTTAAGACTTGTGAAAATGCTGACGTGGATCAAAGCTTCCTCTCCAGTTCAAGCACCTAAAAATCAGTGATCCAAGGATATATAAACCAGTACACACACACACACACACACACACACAAAATCAATGCACAAATAATAAATTGCATCATTTAAAAAAATATATTTGTCATGTGTTGTTAGGATAGCAAAATAAACAGAAAAAAATAAATTAATATGATTAATATGATTAATAAACACAAAGTTTTTCTGTTTTGAACCACAGGTGTCAGAACAACATAATTCTGACCCAAATGAAGATGTTTAATCAGGTTCACAAAATCCTGGAAATGATTTGGTTTCAGGGGAGAAAACATCTTGTGCCAAAGTAACATGTTAGTCATGAATAATAGAGAATTTAAAATGTCAGTTGCATTTGTGTGGAGGCCTTGTCAGCAACTGACACATGGATTGAGTTACGCTGCACAGTTCCACATGGGTCCACAGTTCTTGTTGGCCAAAGATGGCCATTTCATTTCTTGGTTGTAATTTTCTGTTATCAAATGCAGATGACCCTGCTGTTTTCCCACATCAGACTGGGAATTCTGTAGGCTTACAGAAACATTTATTTGTTTATCTTGTTGTCATAGAGTGCTCTTTTCCTGTGTTGCCATGCCTCCGAAGACTGATGAGTTGTCGGTCCCACAGCTTTGAAGAAGGAAGCTGAAGATTTACTTTGTGTGTTTCAGTAGTTGCAGACACACACACTGGCATATACACATCATATACAAACAGACCCACATGCTGACTATTGACTAACTACTACTGTAACCATGGAGGCATATGTAAACATGCACAATATTTAGCCTAAGGGTAGTTATCTAATAATATTTATGTTTATTACAGCATTTATTCTGAACTTTGTCCTAGGTCTCAATAACTTGGAACATCTCACAATAACAAAAAAGGGCATTTTTAGTTTTTGAACAAATGGAAATGTGTACATATTTATTCTTGTGTGTGTGTGTGTGTGTGTGTACACACAGAAATTTTATTTTTGTTTAATTAACTGCACACAAAAACACATCTTGGACATTCTTGTAGATGGATTTAGAATGGCATGAGAATGAGTAAATTATGAATTTTCACTTATAATGGTTTGACTATAATCCAAATGTGCGAATAGCATTTCCTTAACTATTCTAAGATCTTTTCATAATTCTAGCTTAATTGGCCTAATTATGGGGCTTTGTAATTATAAAGACTCTGCATATTCTTTGTGAACACCTTAAGTAATCTCATTTATAAATTTAGATCTGATTAGTTATCTGGAAGTTAAGCTCATAGTCATGGGATGGCTATTTTAATCCCACAATTAATTCCACAATTTTCCCACTTACTGAAGAGAAAAGATAGCATACTATGTTGTTTTTTCACTTTTTCCCCACACCCATGTATTTATCTCATTCTTGAGATTTGTCACATTCCACAGGCAATGAAAGAAAACCTGTTTAAAGCAAAAGACAATGAGCTAAGCAAAAATGCTAACTGCTTCTTCTTTAAAGGGGTCATATGATGTTGCTAAAAAGAACATTATTTGGTGTAATGAAATGTGTTTATGCGGTTTAAGGTTAAAAAAACACATTATTTTCTACATACTGTACACTATTGTTTCTCCTCTATGTCCTGCCTTTCTGAAACGCGTCGATTTTTACAAAGCTCATCGGTCTGAAAAGCGAGGTGTGCTCTGATTGGCCAGCTATCCAGTGCGTTGTGATTGGCCGAATTCCTCAAGCGTGTGACGGAAATGTTACGTCCGAGAATAAAAGTTACGCCTTCTTTCTTTGCGTGAACATTTGGGCGGCGTTATGCAAATCTTCGTGTTAGAACGAGCCGTTTTAGGTAGGCGTGGCTGACTCTTAACTTTTATAAAGAATATCTCTTTGGATTTGAGACTTTAGTCTTTGCAACTAATCGACGCGTTTCAGAAAGGCGGGGCATAGAGGAGAAACAATAATGTACAGTATGTGGAAAATAATGTGTTTTTTGAACCTTAAACCGCATAAACACATTTCATTACACCAAATACACAAAATACTGTTCTTTTTAGCAGCATCATATGACCCCCTTAACTGATTTGTTGTCAATGCTGCTTTAGAGCAATACTTGAAAATGACCACTAGGTGTCACCGTAGAGACGGGTGTCGTATTGTTTCGAACTTCGAAGCCTCGGCACATTTGCTTCGACTGTTTCAGTGTTTCATGAAGCTTCGCTCTGCCCACCACTACAAGGAATACCACCACAAGGTTTCCGTTTGATGAATCATAACTGATGTCATGAAAATACAAGGTATGTTTTCCCCCTCCAGTTTTACCTGCGGTGCTTTTCGAGAGCGCGCGCAAACAGGGAGAACTCTTCTGATTGGCTGTGTTTCCCTTGATTGTGTTGCATCACGTCCCATTTAGGCGTTTGGCGAGAGAAATTTACGGTGGCCGAGTATGCCGAGACAGCTCAACGCGCTGCAAATGAAAAAAACAAAACAAAAAAACGCCAGCAAATTAAGAAAATATCTTCATCAGTTTGACAACACATGTGCTGCAAATACTCACAACATGACCAAATACAGAAACGCGCTGCAAATACGCATAGACCACAACGGAAATGTTTAAGGGAACTGCAACAAGTGACAAAGCTGGCTGGTACGTATCAATGTCTACTCTTAAAGGTGATATTTTTGTTTATTTTAACATCCTGATCATATTTCTTAGCTTTTTTTAATGTTTATTTTTTTGGGGGGATATTATTGGCCTAAATAAGCTGACGAAATACACAATTACTAAAACTGTGAAACTTATGTAAACTGGCTAACTTACTTTTAACAAATGGTAATCAATACGCCATATATATGTATATATATATATATATATACATATATACATATATGCTTATTACACTTTTACTATAATAAAACCATGGTTAATTTTCATAAGGGTTGTTGGGGTCCCTTTGAAATATTTCCTCTGTGCTACTTGCAACGCTTTTCTAAATTTGGTCAAGTTGTTCGTATTTGCAGCGGGTTTCTGTGTTTGATTGTGTTGTGAGTATTTGCAGCACGTGTTGTTAAATTGATGAGGATGCTTTCTTAATTTGTTGGTGCTTTTTCTATTTGCATGTGTTGTCTTAAGTTGCAGCGCGTTAAGCTCTCTCGGCCACCATAGAAATTGCTTGTCGGTGGAATCTAAACTGATTAGGACACAGTGTAACTGTAGAAAGTATCTACTCAGTTTAAACAGGGCCTGTACTTTCAGTTGTTCAAGACGGATTTATTTTTCTTGATGGCGTGCAGGTGTTTCCAAGCCAGCCACGCTTGAACGTGTAATTGGTGATCACTGTTGCCCAGGGTGATGCTGACAGGTGCACACAGCAAGATGACTCGCATCCTTCTTCTCTCCTCCTCTCCTCACTTCTCTGTCTGTTCACTTCTAAAACACTCAGCCATTTTCAAATTGTTGTAGAATGACCTTTCCTTCATCAGACCGATTAAAAGACTCAAATCTAACCCCAGGAATTATTGGATTAGTCAGTGGGATAGAGGTTGGCCATGTAGTGAGTTTTAAAACTAAATTTAAAAACAGTTTACTCAAATTTAATACAGGTTGATTTTTCATGTTCTTCAAAATGATTATGCAACAGGGGCAAACTGTATGCAGACCACTATACAGGACATAGAATACATCTAAAAATTATTTTCTGGACCATTAAATGAGTGTTGACTTATGCATTTACAGCCTTATTGATTGACACACTTTACCTGCTTACATGACCTGGGCACTTTTGTCCACAGATTAAATTATGTAATTTGATACAATAGATAATTAGCCAGTTAGCAGAAGCAAATGGAAGAAAAAAATGCCTAATAGCTTTTATTGAAGAATTGCACAATTTAAAGAAAACAAAGTGCAGCTCTTTCGTTATTGACAATTAGACTGATTGCCAACATAGAAAGCATGTTATTTTAAATAGTAAAAATATTTCACAGTATTACTGCTTTTGCTGTATTTTGTATCAAATAAATGCAGGCTTGGTGAGCAGAAGAGAATTCTTTAAAAAACTTTAAAAATCTTACTGTTCAAAATCTTTTGACTGGTAGTGTATATTAAAATGGTTAATACTTCATTCAAATTAATTAAACACTTTTAAATAGACTGCAGCAATCATATTTTGCCACACATTCTACATCGCAGAAATCGTATGGCCCTATATATCTGACGAAGACTTTGAAATTGAATACAGTGCATGAGCAGTATGGATTGCTTTTATGATACTTTTATGGTGCTTTTGTTGTCCTTGCCAGTATAAGCCTTCACGGAGGGAAAACAGAAGCTCTTCCCCATAAGATAGTGTTCCACCTTTTATGTTTTACAGAGGAAAGAAAATAATATGAGACAGGAATGACATGGGGGTGATTAAGTGTTGACGAAATATTCATTTTGAATTAACTGTTGCTTTAAATCAGATATTAAAAGTCACTTTCATAATCCCTCTCATTTGTCACTGTCTACGGTTTTGAATAGTTTTGAGTAAATGTATAGGCTAATTCATAAACAATTTCTGAGGTAGGATTATTTTAGTGAATGTTATTTTAGTGAATGTTAAGCATTCATCTGATCATCTGTCATGCATCTGATGTATATACATATATGCATAGCTCTTTAAGTCAGCAAAGATATTTAAATGCTTATCTATCAAATGTATCACTTTTTTATTGCAAAGGAGCTTGCCGGTACCATAGAGTGTGTGTGTGTGGCCTCAGTTTTTTCACATCTACCGTCTGTCCTGCAATGAGAGGCCCGACGGCGGTGGTTTTGGTCTGGAGATTAAATCCACTGTGACTCGATTCGGCCTTATATTGACGTTCTATCAGAGCGAGCATTGTGGGGAAGACTGATGAGCTCTTAGCCACTGTATCTCATTTATCCCAATTACACAGAAGTCTGCTTGACCCTGGCCTGGGGGAGCCAACCCTGCTATTGCATTTAACATAAGTTTGCTATAAGCAACAGGTTTTGTATTTAATATATATATTATATATACTCCTGCTGTGATATATTTAGAATATGTCGTAGGTACATTAAGGTTAGTGCAGAATTTGGAGCAAGAAATGCTTATTCAGCACACCCACTTTAGAAAAAGCATGTATTTTCTGTTTATTTTAATAATTTCATGCCGTCTCATAACAAGCATTCTATAACAAACTCCTCCATTTTAAGCTTTTTGTAAACAAACAGTGTATATCTTGGAGATACAGTGTTGTACAGTCATATTTCACAAGTTAATCTCCATTGAGATTGGACCAGACAAAGTGGGGCCATATTGTACAACATTCTCAACAAATCAATGAGACTTTATATAAGGGTCATATTTTTCCCATGCAACACGGGGCTTTTAAACTCAAATATTATCTTTCTACAGTTCTACAGTTATTGAAAAACAGAAAATGGACTAAAAAATAGGGTTTTGTCTCAAAAAGCATTTCATTTTAAATAAATAAATAATAAATAATTATTATTATGTTGCAGGTGATTTTCACTTCCAACATAAATATTACATTTTTAAAAAATGAATTAAATATGGATAAAATTATCTTAGTATTAATTAATTATTTATAAGGTATAATTATATTATAAGGTCATTTGTCACTTTAAGGAGGGCAGTTTCAGTGCTATGACGAGCCCTAAACCCTGATTGAAATCTGTCATGGATATTGTGGTTTGTTAAAGGGATAGTTCACCCAAAAATGAAAAAAAAAAAATCATTTAAGATAAACGATTTGTTACAAATGGATCTCGCATGTACCATCGCCAGTTTCACCTGTCGCAGGCCAGTGTCCGTGAGCACAGCTGCTGGTTTAATGTATACCAAAGATTCAGAAAATCTACACCCCTCTTGTCATATCAATGTGTTAATGACCAGTGAAAAGGGGTCGATGAGTCCGGAAAGACTGGAACAAGACCGATAGGCCGCAAATCAGACGCACAGCAATATCCAAGCGGCCTAAAGTTTCCAAGCCAGGCGCAGAGAAACCATGTAGATGAAAACCTGCATCTCTTTAGCCTTGCAAGAAGACCGCTGTGCTTTCTTCATTTTCTCAGGTGCTTTTTACGATGAAGAGAGCAACCCATTGAGCAACAGGTAACCACAGGAAAGATAGAAGACATCCGTGAGTTAAAGAAGTGGTCTTAATTGGGATACGTCTGCAGCAGTCCGTGGTAGAGAGATGTAAATCTCCCATGAATCGCCCAAGAAGGGCGATCCTAGGTAAGAACTGGTGGTTTCTACCACAAACAGCCATATCGCTCATAAAAATACATATAGGATAATTGACAGGTGAGAGGCGACAGCAAGCCAGCAAACAACCCGATGCCATCTTGAATGCAAAAATATCCTTTAGCCATAGGCATAGTACCATTTCCAAGAATTGATAATACCTTTGTACATTTTTGATCCATTGTTGGTTTTGAATCAAAAATGGTTCCAATTTTTCTTTTTGTGAAACCTAAAACGTTCAGAATGCAGACATGACATATGTCTGACAACAAGGAAGCAAACTGCTAAATGTTTTACTCATTCTCCCCTCCATAGATGAAAACAACAGCTCGTCATCGTCAAACCTGCTGCCTGCCTAGTTTCCCACAACATGAAAATCAATTTCCCAGGAGGTTTAAACTTCATCAAATGTACATATTGTCTGTTGTTCTCTAAAACATTTTAGTCACGCAAATGAAGGACAATACATGCAATGTGTACGAAGTATGCTTGTCGTGAGTTCATATCTCAGTCGTTCCTACTTCTCCAAACCATATATGTTTCTAAAATACTTCTCAAATCCCATCTTGATTGAAATTAAATGTGACCCCATGTGAGTGTTGTGTATTTTATGGCTCAAGTTTGCCAATTTTGTATGCTAAGCTTTCAAAAGATCACAAAGATGCTGAAATCTCATGAAAATTAATTATAAATTAAAGCGTGGAAACTACAGTCAGATCTGTGGGGCTTCACCTCACAGGAGCAGTGCAAAAAGGATCAAAATCTGGTCTGGGGAGAGCTTAGCTGGAAGGGAAAGCCCTGCAGTTTATTTAAAACAAATCTCTGTGCACACAAAGCGTCTAAATACAGACTGCCGTGTATCATCAATTTGATAGGGTGAGATTAGGATGTGGGAATGATGATCGTGAAGGTTGGTGGTTTGTGAAAGAATGTGAGAGACATCTTAAGATGCTTTGGCCACATGTTGACTTTTATATAACTTTATGCACCTTTCACAAATAAGGCAATCTCAGAATTCTTTGCAGTAAGTCAAAAACTGACTAGGTTTTGGAATAGGTTACAAGGATTTAAAAGATTATTCATCAATGGTAGTGAGACTGTTGCTAAAAGCTTCTCATAAATATGAACCATGCATTGTACAATAGAATACACCTTAAGAAAACTGATTTCTTTCTGAGACCAGCAAGAGTTTCAAACCAAATTTGTAGCTATTTTTCTGTCAGTCACATTGTTTTTGGTGAAACAGAGACAAGGCAGGGGGATTTTAGATATATCTGAGGAAATCTGTTTATTTCAAAGTACAGTCTTCATATTGTTAACAGACATGAATGGATGGAGGATATTTATTTGAAATGTTCCCTCCAGTGCATTTCATAAAGTGTTTGTTAGAGTGCTTTTGGTTGACTATGCTTCTTTTTTTTTTTTTTCAACAAAATGAAATGGGACTACATCATTTAGTCTCATCCTCAGACAGCATGTGCATAAACAGCCCATAATCCATTCACTGTAAATAAAGATGTGTTTACCAAGTATTGGGTTGATAAAATTAGCTCTTTTGAGGAAGAACAAATCACTGGATTTGGCATCAGACCTTTAGAAGATATTCAGAGTTTTCAGAGATATTCAGAGATGTTTTGAGGCACAGAATAGCAAGTAAATGATGTCCACAATCAGTATATTTTGCTTTGTTTTCTGTAAAATAATCATTATTTGTTCATTTTCGACTTACACTTATTTACAGCAATTTGTTTAGTGTCTGTGCATTTATTTAAATTCATTTTTCTCCATGCCAGATTATTATTGTTTTTTTCCCAGGTTTCATATTAACTGAACTTTGGTCACTTACATCAAGGCATTCACTCGTGCTCACTCATGTTACTTCAGTTATATTGTAATTCAAGTCACCATGACACAAGCATAAAGCTATTACTTTGAAAGAAGCCATGGCACAATGAACCCCCCATGTGAACAAACTAAGTGAATACAAACTGGCTGAGGGAAGAAGTGAATTACATATTTCTGCTTCTATAGAACCATGTGGGGCTCTAATTAGAAATCTATAAAAAGCTGGGACCTTTTATTCAACTTAGTTACATGCCATTTAGCAGATGCTTTGCATTCCAAACAACTTACAGCAAACTAATTGCTCTGCTTGAAGCAAACAGTGGCTTGCTTAAATGCAAAATGGTGATAAAGTAACTAAATTTACGTTACAAAGTAACGTTCCCAAGCCAGCTTTAACTGCAAGAGTGTTCAAACACGTCGATGTTCAATAAATTGCTACGAATAATAATAATAATAATAATAATTATTATTAATTTTTTTAATTAACACATTTTTTGGAAGTGGTAGTAGTATTAATTTTTTAAATAATTCATATTTAATATTTAAAAAAAATCTATATAGTCAATTTTATATAATCTAATATGTGGCTTCACAACAACTCTGTTACTGTTCTTGAATGGCCCAGCCAGATCCCTGACTTAAACCCAATTGAGCATCTCTGGAGAGACCTAAAAATGGCTGTCCACCAACGTTTACCATCCCACCTGACAGAACTGGAGAGGATCTGCAAGGAGGAATGGCAGAGGATCGCCAAATCCAGGTGTGAAAAACTTGTTGCATCTTTCCCAAAAAGACTCATGGCTGTATTAGATCAAATGGGTGCTTCTACTAAATACTGAGCATTTTTCAGTTTTTCTTTTTTAATAAATTTGCAAAAATGTCAACAATTCTGTGTTTTCTGTCAATATGGGGTGCTGTGTGTACATTAATGAGGAAAAAAAATTAACTTAAATGATTTTAGCAAATGGCTGCAATATAACAAAGAGTGAAAAATTTAAGGGGGTCTGAATACTTTCCGTACCCACTGTATAGCCTAATATTTGCCTAACCACAGACTGTTTATCGTTGTTAATTTTTAAGGGCTTCAAATTTGATTCAAAACTTTCCATTTAATAAATAAGGAATAATAAATCAGAATGTGATGCAGTTCTGGATTTTACAACAAGGACGGGAGGAATAACAAAAACCAGATGAAAAGTCTCAATCAAGGCAAACTTTGTCAGTTTTAGGAACTACTTATCTTAGCCTAAATCTGCTGTACTGGCTCATAGCTAAATAAATCAGTTTGAAGTGAAGATCCTGAGGCCCATCGTTGTGCCATTCATCCATCACCTCATGTTGCAGCATGATAATGCATGATAATCTTGATATGCCACACCTGTGAGGTGGATGGATTATCTCGGCAAAGGAGAAGTGCTCACTAACACAGATTTAGACAGATTTGTGAACAATATTTGAGAGAAATAGGCCTTTTGTGTACATAGAAAAAGTCTTAGATCTTTGAGTTCAGCTCATGAAAAATGGGGGCAAAAACAAAAGTGCTGCGTTTATAATTTTGTTCAGTGTAAATAAATGTAATTTACATTCAATTCTATTTTTAGTTGGAACATGTTCATAGTTACTGTAACCTGTAACACCTGTGATTACTCTGCTAGGATGCCTGTGTGAACTTGACAACCGACTTCATTCATCCATAAATGACCAGAACATTTATAAGGCATTTCAAAAATGGCTTAGAAAAGTGAAGTAAATTCTGAGAACAACTCCATCAGCATTTGTTTAAAGATGCTAGAAAGAAAAATATAAAGCAAAAGGTTATTGATTTAGAAAGCACATTGGGTGACCTTTTTTACGTTTACTTGATCTTTTAGTTTATGTGTATCTTGCTCACAGCAACTAACTCTGACTTTCTGTAAGAGACTGACACCTAGTGGACACTTTAGTGTGTGAGTTTACGGACTGACAGACACAGCTGTTCCCTTTCGATACTACACTCGTACTGCGTCTGCTAGACGCATATGGGAAAAAAGCCTTTTTCTCCTGAACTGAAGCCTTTTCATTCACGCAGTGAAACTGCATGGCCATTGGTTCGTGCAGTGCTTTAAAAACGAACCAATGGCTAGGCAGCGGAGCTGCACGAGCCTATGGCGACGAAGCCTTCTCATAGTAACAAAAAAAATTGCTTTATCAGTCGAGTTACATTAATCCACATTTAAAACCATCTTGCATCACACATATCTCCAAAGACAAATGATTGCAATAAAACGAGGTGTAGAGTAGACATTTCTTTCTTTATCAGCATGATGGATCTCTTGGTTTATTGTGATCATTTTAATTAGATTTGATAAATGAACAGTTGTTTTAATATTAGTTGAATGAAAACTGAAAACAGCAGACTTTTGCTGACTCCATATGTTATTTCTTGTGATTAAAATGAGGAACGGAGTATGAGGGAGTCGAGCAGGTTGAGAATGACCTCACACTCATGTTTGAGAATGGCAAACATGCTCAGACAATAACAGCAGATAATGAAGTTTAAGCTACTTTATTATCTACTAAATATTTGTATAATAGATGCAACTGCAGCATTTTAATGTGATGCAGAATGTACCCAACGGTGTAGGTGTAGTTAATCTATCTAATCCTACACAATTTGCATGACATTAATCGACATGAGACATTTTGAATCATCTGTAAGATTTCTTGAGATTTTTGTGGGTGCAGTGGTATCCATTTGGGGTGTTGTCCTGAAAAATCAAGATAAAGGCAAGTGGAGCATCGAACAGCAGGCTGGGAAAGTGCAGATTATTGAGAAGTGGACATATGAAACATATGAATCACACTTTGACAATGTGACTGAAGGTTATGCATTACGTAGAGTATTTGCAATGACATTTGTGACATTTGAAGATGATTGTTGAACACTCACATCTCAGGTTAAAATCTGTGGTATTGCCAGAGAAGACAAAGTAAAGTAAGTATTAACTTCATGAGTCAGATGAAGGATTCTCTTCAGAATCACAGGACTAGTTTTGTCTTAAACAAGGATTGCATGTTATTTTAATTAATTATTAAATTTTTTCCCCCAGACCACTGGAGAGAACCAGTAAAGTGCACAGATGTAATATAAAAAATAATTTAAGAAACAGAGCAAAATGTGATATATTCATATCATGATGCAAGTGGTTTCAAAAGCTTGAAGCTCGCGTTTATGGTAAGGGGCGTTACATTTCCGACGCGTGCTTGTTGTGTTCGGCCAATCACAATGCACTGGTTCAGCTGGCCAATCAGAGCAGACTGTGCTTGTCAAAGGAGGGGGCTTTGTTGAAAACGACGTGTTTGAGAGAGGCGGGGCATAGAGGACCTACAATAATGTACAGTATTTGAAAAATAATGTGTTTTTTGAACATTAAAGCATGTCAACATATTCTGTTACACCAAATACACAAAATAATGATCTTTAAAATAGCATCATATGACCCCTTTAAAATTTCACTTTTATATGCTGTAGATGGAAACTTTAAAATTTTGGATGCAAAAAAATATTTTTTTACCACTATTGCTCAGAAAAGAAAAATGGCTTTTTGTGCCAACATGCCCCAACAGTGGCACATATGGTCGTGGAGTTGTCTCAGTGGAAACTAGCCATTAAATAGGCTTTTTTTTTTGCTAGAAAAAGCAAGCTGTACCTCACCTTTTGAATTAAGATCTTCATGTGGCACAGATGAACCAGCGGTGAATGCACCAGTGGTTTTAGGCAGTTTAGAAGTGCATGAGATGCTAAATTACAGGTGAAAATGGAAGATGAGTGCCACATTAGCATTTAGAAGCCACTTCCGTATTGGTTAAGATTCATGTTGCATGTATTTGACTGAGTGAATAAGTTCAGTGAGTTCACTGCTGTTTTCCCATTCATTACAACATTTCAGTTAATATTACAAGATCATCTCAGTGTTAAATGAGGGAAATGGCAGACTAATCTCCATTCCTCTAACATCTTTCCACTGCAAATGGAAGATGAAGGGTTCATTAAAAGTCTAGGGCTCTGCTTGTACTTGTTCATTGGTTTCACTCACTATACTCACTATTAACTTACGTCATGAAGCCACAACATAAAGAAATAACCAAGTAGGATAATAAGCATTAGATTTAAATTATTTGATGTATACATTATCTGATCAATCTCATTGCAACACAAAACGAAAAATGTTTAGGATTGTTTTTTGTGAACTATATTCCTATATATACTGTAAGTCAAATTTTTCTTACTTTTATGATAATAAATCCGTTTTCTGAGGAGGAGGATGATAATAAGGTTGATACATTTTGTAAGACAGCAAATGCATAATGACATGCATCATATTTCAGCATTTCAACAATGCATCATTTTTATAACATCTGGTATAGTACCGTATGTTGATAGACGTTTCATTGTCCGGGCAAGTTTGAAAATTCTCTAAAGAGATTTTTTTGTATTTATATTACGTTTTTGAAGAATGGCCTCAGTAAGTTTGCTTTGACAGAAGAGACAAACACATTGAAAGTGGAATCTGGCTGATTGATATTCAGACGATTGCTTATACACATTTGAATAATGACCGTGAAGATGCATCGTTCAGCTATTCTTGGTGACCATGAATTATTTAAGTAATACCCTCTTTGGTACAAAGCTGTTAAACTGGCCATCGACCTGCATTTTTGAATACTGTGGCATCTGATACACACTTGCATATGTTTATTTTACTGACATTCTAAAGTAAACAATTTGATCTTATTGGTTATCCAATTTACCATACTTATTTTATATAATATAGACCTTCATAGCATTAAATGAAAGTTTAATTTGTATAATTGTGCATTATTTGAGCCTACTGGGAATATGTTAAGACATCGAATTTTAATGCACTTTTAATATGTCTGACCTCTTTGGTTCAGTTTACAAAAGTAACTTGCATACAAATGTGCTGATACATATTTCTCTCCGAATATGTAGTTTGTCTGCTGAGATTAAAAGTCAAATTATGTAGGATTTAATGTCTGTTACAATTCACTTTATCTCTTATATACCTTCGCAATTATATTAGCAAGCTCCTGTATTAAAAAAGTAATATTTTTGAGTCTCATGCTGAGGGAAAAAAAAAACATTCTAGCAGCCATAGCAACCACTGAAGTTATATATTAATGCGCCCCATGCACTTTTCAAATTCCTTTTTAAAAAAGACGTGATTTCAGGTTGTTGTAAATAGAATAAGAAAATCCCACATCTGTTCATTCTTCTTCCCATGTTTTACATATGCAGAGACTATAATGCCTGACTTCCATTTGATTATTCGGATCTTTATTTTCTTTTAGGCGATGTCAGTAATAGTGTCATATATCATCACAGCTGGATTTGAAACAAAGCATCATGTACTGTGTTATCGCCTCAAACCAGAGCAATGTATCACAGCTTTGAGGCTTTGAGTGATAACTGTAAGATGACACCATTTGCATCTTAATGACTTTTTTCTTCTATGGAATATAAAAAATATACTTTGTCCAATGTTGTAACCAAACAGTTTCCGTTTCCATTGACTTCCATTGTATTTTTTTCCATAATAGAAGTCAGTGGGAACTGAAACTGTTTGGTTACTAACATCTTCAGAATATCTTCATTTTTGTTGCACAGAAGAAAGTCATACAGGTTTGGAATGACATGAGGGCAAGTAAATGATGATAGAGTTTTCATTGGTGGGTGAACCAACCCCTAAAGGCACAATATGTAATTTTCGCTGCTAGAGGGCGCGTATTCAAAATAAACAAAGAGACAAAGGCTGTGACTGAGTGTGGAATCGTGGGAGTTGTGGTCTTCATCCCCACAGCGATGCAACCCGACGGGACTCGGGCAGAAATCATGTTCATGGATGAGCTAATGATTTATTAACGTAGTAGAATGAAGCAGGGTGAGGCTGAAAGCCGTCGAAGC